TTATGTAAGGATTTTTTTTAAACAAAGAGAACTATCCTTTATAATATGATAGTTTAATAACGAAGGACTTAAGGAGGTCACAGTTGTTGGTTTGATTGATACCCAGTGTAAACAGGCCGCTGACCTAAGCGGAGCGGAAGTGTGTGTAGTGAAGGAGACTTGGGGCTCAGGATGCCCAAGGGCTGGACTTTACTCTGCAAGCTGGTGAATTCATAACTTCCCTCCATGCCTGGCCCTTGCTGTGGGTCTCTCGTCTTTGAAATGATGGCTATGGTCGTAGGGTTTGGGATTGATGATTTCTCAGGTCTTTTCCTACACTATATTCTAATATGTTTTTAATTAGTGGTTTTTAAACAAAAATCAGAACCACCTCAATATTCAGAAAATGTGTCAAATCTCCTTAAAGTGATTTAGCATTATACAGATATTTGAGTATCACAGCTTTATATTAATGCTTTATCAGGAGGATGTCTTTTTATTTAAATGAGTGAGAGCAAAATGGAAAGAAGTTGAAAATATATTTGTTAATCAGGATTTGTTCTTGATTGAAATTCACTGTCTTCCTATTAGCAACTTAAGCATTAGTATGGGCTGGGAACAGGGTGTGGGCATGGAATCGGTAAAAAGAAATAAATGTTATACTGGGTATCTCTTATAATGAAAGTTTACAGCATTATTTTTTAAGTATTTGGGAAGGCTCAGATACATTTTCTAAATTCAGAGAATTTGAATATATAAACTAAGAATTAAGTACATGAGCAGCACTTCAGTGTACTAAGAATTAAGTACATGAGCAGCACTTCAGTGTAAACTAAGAATTAAGTACATGAGCACACAATTAAGTACACTTCTCTGTATTTTCAGCCAGTATCTACCTTTATTGTCCTTGTCCCCTTGTTTAATCATACTAAAACTCTCAAGACAGAATGACCAGCTATTGGAAGTTGGCTTGGTTGGTTGACTGTACTTGCTATTTATTGATTAAATAGTGGATGCATTCTAGTGTTTTTACATTTCTTTTTTAGGGGCTGGAAGGGGCAGGTTCTAGAATCAAGCAAAGTATTTTAATACCGGCTTCCCACCATTCCATGTTAGGTAACTTTGGGCAAGTTATTCAGCCTTGCTGAGCCTTGGTTTCCTCCTCTCTAACATGGGAATAATGGCAGTAATCAAGTTGTTGGTGAATTAATGAGGGCACGCCTGGCACATAATAAGAGCCTGCATTAATATAAAGGAAAGAGTAAAAAGCAGTGCCTCATTCTACAGACTTCCTTGTGACATAACAGCATTAGGGCAAGTTAATTCGTTGACTTAGCTATGGTCAAAAATGAATTGCCTTGCTCTAGTTTCCTACCAGCTGAAAATATGTTACAGTCCCCAAATCTCCTCTCCCTTCCCTTTTTTTCCCAATCATTTGTCGAGTACAAATCAGGCACCAGGTGAACTGGGTGGCACAGATGAAATGTAAGCCTGGTCCCTTTGTCACAGGACGCACAGCATGGTGGGTGATACAGAAAGGATTTTAGACATTGAGTGGTAGCAATACTACACAGCGTTGGAGTAGGAGCTTGTTCTGGAAACATGCCTTTCTGTGGCTGCTGTGTTCAGCGCCTCAGAGAAGGCGTGTCTGGGAAAATACTCAGGCACTTCTAGGGTGTCCCTTCTGGCACCCCTGATCATCACCAGAAAAGCTTGCTGTGATCTGGTGCTGGCACAGGGGATCCCAGGTGGGTTCCCTCATCTGACTTTTGCCAGAGCTAGCCATCAGCCTTTTGCCTAGAGGTATGGCTGTCTGTAGTGCCTCCTGGTTTACAGCCGGCTCTCCTCGTGTCTGTCCTCAGTCAGTGCCAGCTAAGGTTTTCAGCAGTTTATAGATAAGGAAAGTGCTGAAGTTCATGGAAGACTGAGAGACTTCACCGAGTCACACAGTCAGGAAGAACCAGAGCTGTGCTGTGGGCCATATCTAGTGACCCCACTTCTGGGTCCTTGTGTACTACTCTTCGGGATGGGGCATGGAGAAAGGATGATTCTTACACACTACCCAAATAGGGGAAGGCTCACTTCTTTAAGTTTCCAACTTTCTACATGGTATATTGGTCTAACTCTGCCTTCTTGATGGAAATTTTATGTTTCCCCCTCCTTTTTCTTTTTGTTCTTTCTTTCTCTTTGTCTACTTTTGATCTAAATCAAAACAGGCATCAAAAAGAAATCTGTTCTATGGTTTCAACCCCAGAAAAATGTGTAAATCCTCACTCCGATGTCGAAGCAACACGGACGTCATCCTTAAATATGGCAAAATTACCAGAAGACCTTTCAAATCAAAAGATTCAGAAAAAGAAAGTCCTCCACGCAGGTATCAGTGAACAAAATGGTTTGAATGTCATTACTGGTTTCCCTTCAATGCAAGAAGGTAGAATAAAACTAAACCCACTTAGTATTATTAAAGAAGCCTAAATCTGTGTTTTTTTTAATTGAAATTTTTATTGAGATAATTAATTATGCATTCACATACAGTTGTAAGAAATAATACAAGAAATCCCATATATTTATCCTTCTTTCAAGTTCCCCCAATGGTGACATCTTGCAAAAAGAAAAAAAAAAGTAAAATATTGTACCCAGGATGTTGACAGTCATACAATCTATGATCTTATTCAGCTCTCTCCAGTTTTAGTGGTGTTTGTGTGTGCATGTAATTTTATACAATTTTAAAATTGCCAAACTATTTCCCAGCGTGACTGTGCCATTTTACATTATCACCAGCAATGTACACATGATCCAGTTTCTACACATTCTCACCAGCATTTAGTGTTGTCACTATATTTTTTATTTTAGTCATTCTAATAGGTGTGCAATATCTCATGGTAGTTTTAACTTGCATTTCCCCAGTGGCTAATGATGTTGAGTGTCTCTTCATGTGCTTGTTTGCCATCTGTATGTTCTTTTTGGTGAAATGTCTGTGCATGTGTTTTGCCCATTTTTATTGTGGATCATTTGTCCCTCCTCTGCTATTTCTGGAAGAAATTGGAGTAATTCTTTTTTGAATATTTGGTAAAACTTTCATAGAGCCACCTGGGCCTGGAAATTTCTTTTCCAGGGCTTTTTAAATTAAGAATTCAATTTTTAAAAATGGTTTTAAAGCTATTAATATTGTCTGTTCCATCTTGGTTGAGTTTGGCACTTTGTGGTTTCTGAGGAAGTGGTCCATTTTTTCCCCTAAGTTGTGAAATTTATATGTGCAAAGTTGTTCATTGTACTCTTTTATTGCTTTTATAATGGCTGCAGGAGCTGTAGTGATGTCTTTCTGGTGGATTTATAACTTTATTATGTGAATTTTTCTGCTGCAAAATCTACATGATCAGATTTTAATATAGCCACTTTAGCTTTTTATTAATATTTGCATCGTATATCTTTTTCTATCCTTTTACTTTCAATCTACCTAATTTGTAGTTGGAGTATAAATTTCTTATATGTAGCATATAGTTGGAAATACAACTTTTGTTTCATTGCTGAGGTTTTCAATTTGTGCATTTGTCTCAAGAGAACTTATAATTAATTATTGAAGCATTTAAAGACAGCTTCTTTGAAATTCCTGTCATATAACTCCATCTTCTGATTCATCTTGTTATTTTTTTCTCACTCAAAGTGTCATTTTCTTGGTTCTTGATGTAATGGGCGATTTTTTTTTTTTATTGTATCCTGAACATTTTGTCTATTATATTTAAATCTTTTATTTTAGAAAGTAGTTGCCCTGGTTAAGTTTCACAGATAGGCTTTGGCCTGCTTTTATGGTCTGTGGTTCCAATGGCAATTGAATTTTCACAGCCTTTGTGGTTATTTTTGGTGCTTGGTTTTCTGATGTCACTGGGGCTCCTCCTGGTCCCTGCTAGTGCTTCTGAGGGAGCAGTAAGAGTTTGCTCAGGCCAGGATGCTGGATGGGGCTTCTCCATCAGTGTCTGCTGCATGTCTCTAGGGGAAGAGAGCCTTGAATACTGATGGGCCACTCACTGTATCTTGGTTCCTCTTATGTGATGTCCACTTGTCCTGGTGTTTCTAAGCAAAGGTGGACTGTCTTAGGCTCATGGGAACACAACGGCCTCCATTTGTGTGGCTGCATCCCTTTTGCTAGTCTTGCCTGCCCATTCAAATAAATCTGGGTTTTGCTAAAGATGCTACTTGCTAGTCATTATAAACATTTTAATGGTCTTTTGGCACTTCTATCATTTCACTTAGATTTGGGATCTTTGCTACTGTCAGGCAACTATGTGCTTAATTTTTATTCTATTTCAATTTATAATGTAGAAGAATGAATTATGTGAGGACTGACTTGCAGAGCTTGGGGAATAATTAAATCCTTGAATCCACTGCTAGATAAATATGCTTTTATTCAGTACTTGCAGAGTTTGGGAATAGTACAGGTTTTGTTTGGGGACTTTTGGAGATAAATTTCATTTTTATTTTGGCACACCTATGTATGTGGTTGTTTTTGCCTACTGATTTTGGCCAAGGTGGCCTGCCTGTGTGATCAGCGGCAAAGTTCAGCTCTCCTGTGCGGATCATTTATCTCTTTTTCTCACAGACACTGCTTCCAAGAAGATTTATCCTTTTTAATCCCTGGTTATACAGGCAACCAAGATAGGACTCACCATTTTATTGCCTGGAAAAACAATGAATAACACATAGGATACTCCTATCTCCAGGCATGGAGACTTTTCTGACAAAAGATAGATAATTTGCAGATTATTAACTAATCTTCACCCTAATTTCTTATGGGAGATACTAAGTCCCTTCTTGTTACCAACAAGCACACGTTTTATCCATGAGCACTCTTGAAGCTTTGGCAGTTGTGCTCCTAAGTTGTGAATCACAGGACACATTTACCATCAGTATAGGTTGTGTAATCACACATGAAAACTCATTGAGATGTCTTAGTACAGGTTTATTATCCTCCAAAAAATAAACCTGAAATACTGATTAAACATCAGTATTTCAAGTGTCTACCTGCTAGTCTAAGGGCCCCAACAGAGGGTAGAAAATAATATAGATAAAGGTCTGGACAGCGACAGAGGTAGGCAGAGTTTCTAAAATGGCCTACCAAAGATGTCCTAATCTAAACCCTGCAACCCGTGGCTATGATGAGTCATCACTCCCATGATTATGTTATGTTGACCTTGAGACAGGGGTATCTGGGGTGGGGGCGGAGGGGAGGCAGGTACTTATGAGCCCTTAGAAGCAGGGGCTTTTTCCAGCTGGTGGCAAAAGAGAAAATCAGAGAGACTTGAAGCACAGAGGAAGTTAGCACTCTGTTGATGGCTTGGAGATGGAGAGGGCCACATGAATAGAAATACTAGTGCCCTAAGGAGTTGAGAGAGGCCCCTGGCTGACATCCAGCAGGGAAACTGGGAGACCTCAGTCTTACAACTGCAAGGAAATGGATTCTGCCAATAACCTGAATGACCCTGGAGGCAGATTTCTCTCCAAAAAGGGTAGAGCTTGAACTCAGATAAATGGAGCAAGCTATCACCACAGCGTTCAGTTGGTGACAGAACTATGCTCTGAGGATTGGAACACTGAAACTGCATTCTTTTAAGGATCCAAGGAAATAGTTGCATCTAATGAAGCATCTCTCTCCATCCCAAATTCCTTTAACCCCTCTCCCTGTGATACCCACAGAATCAACAAAAACCAGCCTGCTTAGAAGCCAGATGTCTACCTTCAAGAGCTCACCTTTCAGCGAAAGGAAGGATGACCTTTACAGTTCCAGCAATTGGAGCACTCCAAGTGACACAGGCAAGCCAGAGAGGGTCTCTCTGTCAGAATGGCCTCCCTTTGCCCAGTGTCTCTGCTCTTGAAGGAACTGCATATAGATACTTTAGGGGCAAACAAATCATTTTGAAGTGGGTCCGGAGTGCTTTCTACTCAGAGGATTCTCTTGTAAATCAGGTCTACCTGCTTTCATAAGCTGGATTTTCTTAGAGACCTACACTTGCACACATGCGGCCTGCATAACTATGGTGCTGGTAGTGGTAATGCTGCTGCTCTATGGTTTGAATTTGAACATCTAATATTTCATTGTATGTTTATTTTCTTCCCTTCATTCATAGATATAACCATCTGATGAGCCCTCTCTGGTTCATATTGTCAGCTTTTTGGGGCTAAATGTGAGGAAAATATGACTTTACTCAATTTTTATTACTATTGATAAAATCATTATTCTTAAAATAGTAAATTTCTAAAAGTTTAATTCTTGTAGTATTTTTCCCTATATTTTAAATAGTTGATAAATGATAAACCCCAGCTAAACACACATACACACACACACACACACACACACACACACACATACACACACACACACATGCATACGCACACACTCCCCTAGATAGTAGGAAGCACCTGACAAATTCACACCTGTTGTTACTTGGTCATAGCTTAATCAAACTTTGTGTTCTTCGATGCTGGCTGGTGTGATGTCTTTTCCCCACTTTCAATTAACCTATCATATTTCCTAAGTCTGCTACATGCATAATCCTTAAAGGATTATCATATGATGATTAGGATATGATTTCTTAGGCATTTAACTAGCTCACTCCCAAACATCCCTCCTTATAGATGCTGCTGATTCAACTAGCTAATATTCCTTTTCATTAATAAATCCAAGTTTATATAAAGGTATACATTAAAACTCCCAAATACTAATTCAAAATTTTGAACCTACAACTAAATAGGACCTAATAGGGATTTTAGTTTCCCACATAGAACTGAACCACAAAACAATTAAAAACTAAAATGTTGATCAAGGCTCCCCTGTGTAATTTGAAAGGAGTCTAATGAGGACAACATTGAATGATTGCTAGTTAATGGTATTCTTATTTAGCACTTTTAAAATGTGTTCTCTGGAGAATGAGAGAATGGGTATGTCTCATTCTTCCCTGGAGAGATTTCTCAATGGCCACAGGGTGAGGTAGATAAAACAATGACAGCACCATATTTACCTCTACATTGCTTTTTGGTATCAATTGCCAATGAATCTTGCCTGAGAACCCACTCTGACACACCAGCATTCTCTGAAATGTGGTCCATTTATTAGTCTTCAGTTACACCTGAACTCCAAGATATGTGTGATTCTTTTGTATTTTGATATAAACCCCATATCTGAGGAAATTATACAACTGCCATTTCCCTTTCCACAGAAATGAGCATCTTGTTGACAAATGAGTATCCAAATGACAAACCATTAGAAAGACTGACTCCAGAAGGAAGCCAAGTTTACGATCAAGAGTGAGTATTTTAATTTTACTAGGATAGTTTTGTTGTGTTTTTAGTTGTTATACGTTTTAAAATGTCACAGTCTTGTGTTCTCAGTTCCTCAGATATATCTTTAGCAAACTGGCTCAAGACCCATGGTTTGGTTGCCAAGAAACTCACTATCATGGACGCCTTGTCAATGACAGCCATCCCTCACAGCCCCACCTACGTTCCAATTTTGGACAAGCATGTTGCTTCCAAGGTCTTTGATGAGGTAAAACTGATTTTCTACATGTTCCTGAGTAGCATAGTTTCAATTTTCTGCTTAAACGAAAATAATCTCCTTTAGTATCTTGTGCAGTTGTAACAGAAATGTGTTTCAGCCATTGAAATAGAATTATTTATAAAGGTAGTAAAAAGGAGAGAGAGAAGCTTTTAAGCATTTTTGCTTTTAGGCTGAGAAGAAACTGGCCTTTGTTGGGTTGGCAGTCATGGTTCACTGCTGATGGGTGGCAGTGTGGAGATGCAGAAAATGCTTGAAAAGCCTCTAGGTCACAGTTCTGAGTCCTGAGCGAATATCATCCAATATCAAAGGATAGGAGCAATGTGTGAGAAGTTATGTCCTTCTTTTGCTCACTTTCTATTCCTAAGAGTGGTGGTATCTTTACTATCATGAAATTCTCCAAGGAAAAAGAGAGAGAAGGAGGGAGAGCAGAAGAAGAGAGAGAGAAATGGAGAGCAGAGCCACAGCAATAGGAGCCCTAAGAGAGTGACGAGTAACAGTCATTCATGTCCTAGAAGGAGAACAGAACTTCCAGGAAGAGGGTGTGGTAGGGTTAAATATGGAGGGAGCCAAGTGAGTGCTGCAGACTTTCCCTGACTTGGGCAATGAGAAGGCCCTCGCCCTCAGCAAAAGCAGCCCAGTGGGGCAGCCAGATTGCACAGCAATGAGGGCCATGAAGGAAATGAGAGAATACAAGAATTGAACTGTGGTGCTTCAAAGATAACATCAATGAGTGATTTAAATAGGAATATATCAGGCTTTACAGTCACTAAACGGAAATAATACTCTTATCTCATACAAAAATATTTATAGAGGAAATGTAAGAGGTTTGGGATCTGCTTCAAGATAATCTGGATGGTGGGGGAGTGGGGGGAGGAGTACATACAGCTAGATTAACCATGAGTTGACAATTATTGAATTTAGATTATTGAGTGGGAGGAGGCTCATTCTACTGCTCTGTCTGCTTTTTCATATATTTGAAATTTTTCATAATAAAAAGTTAAAAAAAAAAACCAAAAGCAGGAAAAAAAAGGCTTTATCTAATTTGTCTTACAATAGCTGTGATATGATGTATTTGGAAAAAGTGAATGAATTGGTGAATTTTTTCTATTAGTCACATTTAAGAAATTGTACCCATGGAGTTGACATGTCCAGTGGCTCTTGCTCTGGAAGTTGTGTGTGCGATCACTTAGGCTGGGTTCCTGATGACTTTGCCTCAAGGTGAGTGGTTCTGTCACCTTGTGACTGGCAGAGTCTATTTATATCTTCAGTGAACTCTAACCTGATTAGTCAGATATCAGCTTAGCATTTGAACTTTTCTTTCGGAAGAAACAGAGAAACCAAGCCCTGATTTATTTATTCTAAGGAGTTTGGTGACAGCTTCTCATATTCTGTGGATTTATTTTATTAATATTCTTGAGTTTTATTTGGAATAAAGTATATTTAGTGAATGCTTCCTGGAAATGGAATTTTCTTGTGTTTATCATGTCTCCTTCAAAGTCTCTCAATAACTCAAGATACATCAGAAAGTAAATTTCTCAAAAAATAAGCATGATAGGGTAGGAAAACAAGCATAAAATCAAAGGGAGAACCCAAAAGAAAAGATTTATAGATTAAATACATAAAAACATTATTTTGCATAAAAACATAAAATGAAGGCGGTATGAAAGTCAACTGCAATTGAAAAAATAAATAAAATTTAAGAAAGAAATTAAGATACCAAATAGACAGAAAACAATTAGGCCATTAAGGACTAGAAAAAAAAAATGAAGGCAACTCTCAGAAAAACACTGGTAACATATACAACAAAGTACTGAGGAAATAGCAACTAAAATAAGACGTTCTAGTTAAATCTGATGAATGGAAAGTGCAGAGTGCAGGTGCAGGAGAGGCCCCTAACCCAGTTTCAGTTGTCAGAGCAGTCAGGCCTGGGGGAAGAGAAGGAGTTAGAAGATGCTGGGTGGGGAGGAGTGTCCTAGGCAGTGGGCAAGCTTGTGAGGAAGGCCAGAGAAAGTTTGTTATTCCAAATAAAGTTTAGTTTACTGGAGGAAGGTGTTAAAGCAGGTAAGGGAAAGGTCTTGATTGAGTTAAGGATTTGGAGCTAACATTTTGAATGTCATCCTGAGGGGAACTGAAGGAGTTTTAGCAGAGGAGAGAAAAGAACAAGTTTGGGCTTTGCTGCAATCTAGAGACAAGTTGGAGAGGTGTGAGACCCAGAAGCCAAGGGGCAGTCAGGAGGTGAAGTCTAGGTGGCGAAGTCTAGGTGGCAGTCAGGAGGTGAGGTCTAGGAGGTGAGGTCTAGGTGGCTGTGACCCCAGCGGCAGCACCGGGGATAGATCCAAGGCTATTTATAATGTCAAGTTGAGGGTTAAACCACATGGGGCTGAGAGAGAGAAATGTCAAGAGTGCAATTCAAGAAGGAAAAACTAGGAGGAAGAATGGTGAGGGTCTTGGTCTTCAGGGCAATGTTCAAGTCTTCTGACTCTAGAAAGCAAAGACAAGGAAAGAGGACTGACATTTTTCAAGTGCATTTCACCATGGGACTGGTGCTTGGTAGCTTTGTGACATTGTAAATTCTCCTCACAAACCTGTGGGTCAATTGCATATTGCCTAGCATGCTTCATTATTGACAGTAAGAGCAAGAATCATGATGATGATGGTAATATACTGCAATAAATTCCAATTTCACCCTCAAAGCACACTCAATATTTTCTCTGACTTTGAGAGGCCCTTGGCTGTAAATGGGAAGAATCTAAAAATATATCCCACCTGGTAGGATAAATAGCTTTTTGAAATTTGGACCTGACATTTTATGTAAAAATAGACAAAAAGTAGAATGGAGCTGAAAAGGAAACATGAATTGTAAACCACTCCACTGAGAATTTTAATTGGCTCTTACTCCTGTGTTCTGTGCACAGCCACATCTGTCTGGGTAGAGTTGTAAAGCAGTGTTTGGCTTTGTCGCCAGCTCTTTGTTTCATTGATGACATGTGTGGGTTTTCTTCTTCTGGAACACAATGCTGTTTTGATTTTCAGTGTTTCTTGGACCAGCATCGAATCTGTCACCTTGGAAATGAAGTACTGAGCACAGAAGTTGTCCTAGCAACTCTTCATTACAAGATGCTAACTGGCACTTTCAGTTTCCAATAGACCAGATAATTTTACCTTAGCTCTTTCAAAAAAATTTACTCATCGCTAAGTCATATACAGAATAAAACTGTTTAAGTTATTTGGTAAATCAAATAACTAATTCAAAGCTTTTTATTGGCAATTGTTTTGCAAAAATAAAACCAAAATAATCTGGGAACATTTGCCTGCATCACTGGAAAATCGTCATCGTCATCATCATCATCATCATGTCTTTAACAGCGTCCCCACATGCTTTGCTCTAATGTGGGTCCAGCAGATGGCTTTGTGGTCCTGGGCTTGCACCCCAGCTCTGTCCTTTACTACTGACAGAGACATGGCAGTTCCCTGATCTAGTACGGGAGGAGTCCTCATCCTAGATTCGGAGCAAAGCATTTAATATCATCCAAGTATTTCATCTAAAACTTAGAGCAACCTAGCGAGGTGGATATTCATCCCATCATTTAGCTGACAAAGAACGTTAGGTGCACAGAGTTTGGGGGTGCTGGTGCAGACATGGCATTTTGTTGCTTTCAATGTAGTAGCATTAGACGCAACTTTTTTTATCGATAGAAAAACTTATTTTTTTGCTTTTAAAAATGAATTTTATTGAAATCTAATTCACATACCATACAATTCACCAATTTTAAGTGTCCAGTTGAATAGGGTTTGTTTTTTTTTACTTTACTTTTATTTTATTGTTAGTTTCAGGTATACAGTACATTGGTTAGACATTTATATAGTTTATGGCATGATCTCTCTGATAGAAAAGCTTATTTTAATTAAAAAGTTTTAAAGAATAGTTATGGCAAAAACTGTATATATTCATTGTGTAGAAAAATTAGAAAGTGCAAAAAAGTGAAAAAAAAAACCCCAATAGTTATAACAGATGAATCACTGGTGTTAGTTGGCCATAGCTTTTTCACTACATGCATATCCTTTGTTCTGTGTTTTTGTTTTACCAAAATGAAGTCAAACTGTACCGTTTTACATCCTTGTTTTTATTCAACAATCTATCGTGGGCATTGTTCCATGCCAACAAATATATATCTATTACACCATTTCAATTGAAATTTAAATTGAAAAAAACAATCTTTTATTTTCTGAAAGTTTAGGTTGAAAAATGTGAGGTGTAACCTAAACTGTAGTAAGTAACATATTTTCATGGGTTTATGAATGATCTATTGTCACACTGCTTTGCCACGTAATGTTCTGGCCCTGCCTTCATTTTATTCTTTGGAGATAAGAGATGGTTCAGCTTGAAAGCAGACGTGTAGGCTTTAGCACTTGGCAGTTTGTACAGTGTGCCAGCTGTAAGGCCATTGCGTCTGTGTTCAGTTATCCATTTGGGCAATGTGTGCATGGCTGTTGCTTTTCATCACACATGTCTAGTCACACCTGTCTTTGGCCAATCTGACAGCAAGCTCTGGGATGCTTATTGGAAGAACCTATTTTGTTGCAAAAAAGTGAAGTTGGTAAATTCAGTCAGGGTGGAACAATAAATATATAAAAACCAGTTTCTCGTTTTCAACATGTGGGATTACTTATAAATACAGGATGTTGCTAGGTAGAACTCTACCTGTAGTACTTTAATATCTAATAGAACTGTACACAGTTCTATGTTCTGCTTTTTTCATGTAATGTATGTTATGAACATATGTCCTTGTAATGTCCATTTGGGAATGAATTTTTTTTTTGATCTTTTATTTTTTTATTTTTATTTTTCCCCCTTCCCCCTCCCCTGGTCTCCTCTGGTAACCACTAGTCCATTGCCATGTCCATGAGTCTCTGTTTGTCTTGTTCATTTGTTACTGTTAGGTTTATATCCCACATATAAGTGATATCATGTGATTTTTCAACCTTTTCTGTCTGGCTTATTTAACTTAATATTATTATTTCAAGGTCCATCCATGTTGTCACAAATAGCAGTATTTCATCTCTTCTTATGGCTGAGTAATATTCCATTGTATATATGTACCACAGCTTCTTTAGTCAGTCATCTATCATAGGACACTTTGGTTGCTTTCATGTCCTGGCCATGTGAATAATGCTGCTATGAACATCGGTATGCAAATATCTTTTCGGATATGAGTTTTCAAGTCTTTGGGGTAAATATTGGGGGTGAATTTTAATGGTTGCACTAGTATTCAAAAATATGAATTACTACATTTTATTTAACTATTCCTTCCATTATTGGGCAGTTTACTTGGGATTTCAAGAGTATATATTTTTCTATGTATTTGCTGTCACTTAGAGCAGTAACATTAAAAAAAAACTTTGCTAATTGTTATGTGAAAATGGTATTCTATTTTAATTTTATATTTTATTGTTTGAGAATAGTTTTCTTATGTATGCTAACTACCTCTCTTAAAATCTTGTTCACTTTATTCATATTCTTAGCAAACACTTCTTTAAAAAATGACAAAGTTATACTCATCCTGTGCCTAAATTGCCAAGAATTCAAATTTGGTAGAATTTGAACTTAATTATGTTTTACAATATGAACAAACATTTAATTTTGAGCCTTGGCCATTATTTTAATTTTTATATAATTTTAGTCTTTTTGAGTATTCAATAAATGGTCACTTCATACGTGTGTTGTGCTAGAAACTAGTATTTTCAAAAAGGAATAAAGACCTACAGAGTTTAGTGGGGAAGAAAGCCATATAACAAGAACTGCAATTCAATGTGTATATCTCTACGTATATCGATAAGCCTTCTAGATTCATCTCAAGAGAACTGAGGTAGGTAATACCTTGAGTCTCCCTTTTGTTATAAAATATTATCTAGAAAGGACTCTCATTAGTTGGTTATGCTCGATTTTCATTCTAAGAGGTATTAAGGAGGGCATTTTCAAAGGAGGTGTGATCAGGTGGTTTTATTCCCTCTCAAACAGTTTATTCATTAACTGCGCCCTCCTCCCCACTTGCTTCCTGACAGTGGCTGGGCAGCCATGATTCTGATTGCCCCAAGTCCCCCTGAGAGTATCCCTTATGACCTCATAGCCACATAAAGTTGACATCATAAAGAGAATACCCATGGTACCACCATGTGACCATCATGTTATAAAAACTAAGACCACAGACTGAAGGTGTGGAGTATTCCCTAAATCTGCATTCACACAAGCCAGATTTGAACAGATTTGAACGGCTACCACACTGAAGTGCACCATGGCCACGCAAGGCATGAGATCCAAATCCACAAAAGAGGGAAGTGGAGCGTTGAACAATGGGTTTTCTTTTAGTACGTTGAGTCAGGAGTCAAGCTGATCTTGGCGAAATATGATGACGTTGCTAAATATTTTGTGGTGTTGATTTGTAATTGAGCCATAAGTGGGCAGACTTGGAGAGTTATTTGTAGACTTCTAATGGGAGATTTTTTTTCTCTCGGGGATGATAAAAATATAAGTCTTTCCTTTTGTTGACATTGATTTTCTTTTCCTCTGAAAGTTTATGTGATATGCAGCTCTATTTTGAAAGAACTTTTTTTTTTTTCATTTCTGCAAGCTTCATTCCATTTTCAAAGTCCAGTCGACTCACCTTTTAACCCACTGTTCTGGTTCCTTCTCTTTGACAAAAGTTATTAGAAGCCATATGCTGAATTCATGTGTCTGAAAGTTGCGAAATTTGACTATGGATCCTGTTAACTTCATTTCTTCCTCTTCAGTTTTCTGAATCTTTGCCAGTTTCCTTGTTTGTTTTGGTCTTGATGTTTTAATTACAAGATTAATACATGTAGTTTCAATTTCAGTGTTTGTTCTTTCCAAGATAGATTTTATTATTTAAAATATTTTTCTTTTCCCCATCTATCTCCTCTTATGGCACTTCCGTTTATTTTTGTACTTTTATATGACTGTTGCATCTTTGAACAACCTAATCATAATTAAAATAAAGCCATTGTTAGATGGCTCATAAATTAATTTCTTGTCAAATGAACTGACGTTCTGATCACTGATTTGCTTGGCTGTCATTTTTGGCTTTTTCGGGGGGAAATGTTTTGGAATTTTAGTATGCTGGCCCATTTTAACAAGCTTTTTATAATCTGTTTTATTTTCTCTTCTCTCCTGTTTTTCAGTTGCCTAAATCCGGCCCATTGAACCTCCCTCATTGAGATTTAGGACTCTTGTTTCTTGGTGACACTACAGTATCATAGATTGAGAGGGTGGCTTGGTGTAGTTCTTGGTTGCAAGGCTGCATCAGTACCCTCTGTCACTAGACCAGGCAATCTTTCAAGGGTAAGGGACCCTCATGCCAGTGCTGGCTTTGGGCACTGAGCCTGACTTGGGCCCTTGTCTTTCAGAAACTCACAGCCCCACTTGCTTTCCAGAAGCTGAGCTCCCACTTCTCAGTTGCCTTTGGGCACAGAGTGAGCAAGCCCACAGGTTCAGCCCCACTCACTTCCTCACAGTTCTGTTCAATTTTTTGTCTCTGGAAATGTATTTATCAACCATGCGTCTTTCTTTTTACTTCTTTCTTTTTTTCTATGCATTTTTTTCTTCAACAACAACAACAATACAATTTTTTTGTATGATTTTGGAGGCAAGGGGGAACATTAAAGCTTGAACTATATCATCTTGATTGAAAGTAAAAATTTACTTCTTAAAAGCAATTCTCACATTTCTAAGGTACGCCTTGTGGTTAGAATCAGGTACAATTTTGAAACGATATTATAGCTTAGAATTCTCTTGTTAGACTTTTGTTGTTGTTTAAATATTAAAATATGGAATATGCCTTTTTGTGAACATATATTCATTTATCAACAAATATTTGTTAAGGACACACTATGTGCCAGGCACTGCTCTAGGTGATAGGAATACAGTAGTGAATAAAACAAAAGTTCTTGCTCTGATGGGGCTTACACTGTACGGAAGAAATAAGTAATAGGCAAACAGGTAAATGTGTAACATTACAGGTACTGTTAAAATGGCATGGAATCAGAGGCATCCCAACCTGAAAGTAAGCACCAGGTGCAGACAGGAAGAACTCAGAAAGAAGCCCTTTCTTCCTGGTACTCTGCTGTTCTTAGAGAGTGTGCTTTCCTTGATCGCTAAGCCTTCTTGACTTGACGTGCATGTATTAGAACCTCTTATAAACCATTAAGGAAAATGATCAAAAGATGTTAACTCTCATCAGATATTCTCAAGAGAAAATCAAATGTAAAATAAATATATGAAAAAGATGTTTTAACCTAACAGGTAATTTACAATGTAGCAACCATGAGATGCTATTTCTTATTCCTCACTCTCATCAATTTGATGGGGGCTTATGAAGATAATACTCAGTTCTAACTACAGTTTCCTGAAACAGTTTTCAGTGTGTGTGTGTGTGTGTGTGTGTGTGTGTGTGGTGATTTTTAAAATACATAGTTTTTGGAAGGAAAAGGTTAGTAATGATATCTGATTCATATATTTTCCTTAATGATTTCCTGTATTTTTCTAAATTTTTATAATTATAATATGTTGGTTTTATAGTCAGAAAAACATACTGCATAGTTATGTAGATCCATTTTTGAAGGTACACGTTAGCCTATCAAATGACACTTTGCTTTGGTATTAATGTGTAGGTGTTCCCTCTGGCACACGTGTGCAGCGACACAAACAAGATGACATTAATTAACCCCCAAGGAGTCAAGCTCAATATCTACAAGCAAAAAGTGGAACAGGCAATTAAGTCCTACGAAAAGTGAGTATGACTCTTGGCTGCTCTTTACAGAGCACTCGTAGTCCCACTTACTCTCTAGCCAATAGAACAGCACCAAGTCTTTTTTAATATTGATAGTCAAAGGATCGATCTAATTATAATCATGTGTTCTTATCTATCCCTTTTAGTGTATACTCTACTGGATATACTATAATATATATCATATGTGGATATTGTATAATATATATCATATGTATCCAAATACATCTCCATCTCTATATCTACATCTGTATCATGGAATTTTTTCTTTTGGCCTGTTTTCTCTCGTTTTAACTTAAATTTTTTTCAGGTGGAGCAACTGTTTAAAACTTGTCTATAAGGAATATCAAATTCAGCAGCAGCAAACACAAGTGCTTCCTGTATGTCAGGCACTGCGTTAAATCCATCACCTGAATGTGTTCGACAGAGTTTTAAAGAAACCGTCTTCCTTTCCAAATTCTGTAGAAATCTCATGTTTCCACAATATTAGTAAATTCCTTTAGCAGAGTGAGTTTGGTCATTTCAGTACTTAATGTTCTGTAAACCAACTTGTAGAACTGCACGATAATGAAATAATAGAGATCATAGAAGTGTGTGCTATTATGTAAACTGTTTTTATATCAAGATCAAAAAGACAATTATGTTGACAACGGTAAAAATTACACTCTTAATGGTCCCTGTGTTAGTGCTAGGATAGGGGCCTTTTTCACAAGGGCAGATGACTTGGTCTCACCCTGTCCTAGCTCTCTAATCACCGCCCCCCGCCATTCTGCCTCCAGCACTTAATTAATCCTTGGTGCACAGCACTTAATTAAATTTGGAGGGTCCCCGGCTCAAGGCAGGCTTAGTCTTGATTCTGGAAGCTGTGCCATAGGGTTTCCATAGGGTTTCATTGACCACTGCCTGGGTGGGAAAAATGAAATAAAGTACACGAAAGTTAACCAGGTCTGTTGTCATTGTGTAGTGTATGTAGTGTGTGTCCAGAAGAAGACTGACTCCTGCCCCACGGGGTGCACAGCCCAGCTCAAAGGCAGGCCTTGCCCACCGTGCTCATCACAGGCCTCTCTGCATCTCCTTTACCTGAGCCTTTTCTGTTGCCCTCACCTAGGAAGGGAAGCCGTTTGCGTGAGCTCCTTCAGCTGGTCCAGGGCTCCTCAGGACTCCTCTGTGTCCTTGTCTGCCCTTTGTTTCTCTGGCAGCAGGATGAACTGTGCAACTGCCCTTTGTTTCTCTGGCAGCAGGATGAACTGTGTCAAGGCTCACCCTTCCCTGGGGGCCTGAGACCTGGCTCTGCAGTCAGCCCCTCTCCCTGCCCAGGCTTGCCTTTCCTTGCCTCCAAGCCTTGCTTCACCTCCTTCTGTCCCCCAGCTGGCCTCTTCCAATGTGCCAATGGCCCTCTTCAGAGAGGCCTTTCCCAGTGACTGTCCACCACCCACCCTGTGTGCGGCCCTCAAGGCACTCATGGCTTCCGCGCAGACCTCACTATCCCCTGCAAGGATGTCAGATGCCAAGGACAGGGGCTCGGGCAGCCTTCTTTCCTCCTTTGTCTCCTCTGCCTAGCAGATGCCACTATATATATTTGACTATTGGAATTTAATTTGAATTTGATCTAATTCAAGTTTAGTCATTAAAATTCTTCAAAGTCAGTTATTCAAAGTGTAATATAATCATATCATTCATATTATAATTTAATTCACTTGAATCATTAAAATATTTGACTTTTATAATTACCTGGCCTGTGGAAGGCTGGTACAGGGCCACAACCTGGGGGCATTGAGGCCAGACAATTCTAGGTTTCATTTTTCTCTGTGACATCTACTTGGCAAGTCATGTGACAATTGTGCACTTCCTCTTCCTTTACAAAATCTATGTCACAGAGTGGTTGTAAGGGTTAGGTAAATTATATACAGAGAGCAGCTGATATTAATTGCCTCCCCTTTCCTTCCCTGGGTCTGCTAATCCTAAAATAACCATAAATAAATGGAGCATCATAGTCACATAGCTCTTCCCCAGGGTTCCCAGGACACACGGACCCCCTCCCTCCCAGGCAGAAGAGAGACCTTCTTCCTTATTACCAAAACCAAAATACATAGTAAGTGATTTGTCCTGATTCTTCTTTCCAATGAGTGAGTCTGGAAAAGCCTTTTTGAAATACCCTTAGGAAAATATATTGTATTTTAGTATTAATAATAACATTAATTTTAATGACTAATATTTAATATTGTTGATTAAGTTAGTATTATTTGGTATTAGCAATTTAATGCTTATAGTAAATGAATTATTTATTTGATATTGTTATTTACTAATATTAATAATCACATTAATATAATATAGAGCAATACTTCCTGATCTTTTGCATTCAATAGTATTTAAGAATTTCGTTGGTATGAGGGTCAATTCCCTTTTCCATTTTGTTCCACCTTCTTAAAGATATACATAATATGAAAAATAATTAGTGAAACCTGGCTTACCCCCACTCCACCCCCAGTGTAATGTGTCTAAGGAATTCCCACCACACGGAAGCCAGACGTAATCATAAATCCATACAGTTGGAGACGACAAGGCAAATGCAAAGCTCACAGCCCTTCAGCCACAAAAGTGACATAAACTAGCTCTTTTGGTCGCATTTAGTGCCCGTATGTGGGAGTACTTCTGTTTCAGTATTTTAAGGATGGAAGCAGCAAGTTTTGGCTTTGCATGTCCAAGCGCAAGCTTTGAATGAGGATTGCCAGGCCTGGCTGAATTCTGGGGCAGTTTTTCTTCAGTTTACTTTGATTGTGACTCTAAGGTCAAGGTTGCAGGCCTTAGATCCACAGGAAAAGCATCAATTCCAAGTTGGCTCTGGGACCGTGCTTAGTAACCTCTACTTACAGTCTCGGAAATGCTTGGGCTGCTGCCTGAACTTCTGAGGTGTCATTAGTAACAAGTTGCTTTGCAAATAAGTCAGTTCTGGGTACAAGTGTAGTTGTGACCCAGAGTTATCCAAAGCTAGTGAATGCCACCCCTCAATCACATCTCCTAAAATAAAGAGGAAATCTGTGGGCAGTCACATACCTGAGTTGAAGGGCTGGGCCAACCACAGAGAGAACCTTGTGTGCAGCACCGTCTGACATCCCCTAGGGACCATCTCAGAAAAGTCTAGCTCTGGGCCCAGGCAGTCTGCCTCTAGGGCCTATGCTCATCCCACCACGCCAAACCCCTGTTCCGTCATCCCGCCAAGCTTGTGACAGGCGATCAGGGCAGGGCGGCACCTGCCAAAGTACATTTCCAGAGCCCTGTGCACTGGTGCTGGGGCCAGTGGTCGGGAGAATGCCTCCTGGAGAGTGACAGTATTCTCCCAACTCACTTTATTGAAGCAGTTTTTGTCATGGGACACCAGCTCACAAGCCCAGGAGCCGTGTTCCATGCCCCATGCTCCCGGACCTGATTTGGGTAACGATGTAGTATCACTGATCTGGGCTGGAACCTCAGAAGGCAGCATCACTAATCAGGAACCAGAGGAGGAGCCTGACTTCTAGAAACCACTACTCTAATCTCCTCCCTTTCCCCTGGGTTGGCAGCATCTCTCAGACTAGTCCAGCCATGAGCTTCAGTCTCAGCATCGCCAAGCAGCTGTGGTGGGTGAGCAAGGCACTTCATTAGTCACCCCTCTAAGGGGCCTCATTTGGAAAACAAGATCAGGCTGGTTGGTCTTGAAACTGTGTCACAATCTTCTTAACGTGACCCTATTAACCTCTTTTGCTCTGGAAATCTAGGCAGAAGAATGTCTACAGAAGGCAAGCTAAGGGCACACTTATTGTTTCTTCAGGAAGAAAAATGGCGGGTATCTAGAAATACCTTCATTTGGATAGGAGATCAGCTTGTTTGCTCCTTTTCTCAGACTGGGTTTTACCTGATTGAGAGAGAGCTGTGTCCTCCTCTAACATTTAACACAACTGCCACAAAGCCACAAGGCTTCTACACTGATGCTGAGGCTGAGGGACAGAACGCTTATATCGAACCTCTTTAAGCAAATGGTGGTGACACGGGCTCTCCCTGCAGTGCCCTTCAGGGCCTGGGGTCACCTTTTGCTATGAAATGAAGTATTGGTACTAAGCAATTATTGTTGATTTTTTTAAACAGGCGCTTGAATAAAATCGTTTGGCGCGCATTATCTCAAGAGGAAAAAGAAAAGTAAGTCAGTTTTTCCTCACTTTTTTTTTTTTGGTGACAGTCACATAACCTACAAGTAACTTTTTAAAAAGTGAACAATTTAGTGGTATTTAAATTATTCAAAATGTTGTTCAAACTACCACCTCCCTCTAGTTTCAAAACTTTTTTTTATCACCTCAGAAAAACACTTTATATCCATTAAGTAATCTTTTCCCCTTCCCCCCACGCTCTCTGGTCTGCTTCCTATGAATCTGCCTATTCTGCACATAACGTATGAGAAGAACCATATAACAAATGACCTTTCATGTCTGGCTTCTTTTACTTTACGTATAAACGTAATGTTTTCAAGTTTCCTCCAAATTGTGGTGTACGTTGTCGTTCATTCCTTTTTATGCCTGAGTAATGATCCTTGTGTGTACGTGTGGACGTTTGGGTTGTTCCCACTTTGGGGCTATTACGAACAATGCTGCAATATACACTCACATAGAAGGTTCTGTGGGGACATATGTTTTCACTTCTCTTAAGTACATACCTAGAAGTAGTTTCACTGGATCACAGGGTAATTCTGTGTTTAACTTTTTGAGGAACCACCAAACTGTTTGCCACGGCAACTGTACCATTTTACATTCCCACCAGCAATGTATGAAGACTTCTCCACATCCTTGCCAATGCTATTTCTTCTTCTTCTTCCTCTTATTCTACTACTACTACTATTTTTTCTCCTCCTCCCCCTCCTCCTCCTCCTCCTCTTCCTCCTTTTCTTCCTCCTCCTCCTTTTTTCTTCTTTTTTTTTTTAAATAAAGCCATCCTAGTGGGTGTGAAGTGATATCACATTGTGGTTTTCATTTGCATTTCCTTAATGAATTTCAGGTGCTTGTTGGCCATGAGTATATCTTCTTCAGAGAAATATGTATACAAGTCTTTTGCTTATTTTTAAATTGAGGTTTTTTTTTTTTTTTTGTAGTTGAGCCATAAGAGTTCTGGATATTCACCCTTTATCAGAGAGATGATTTGTCAATATTTTCTTCTGTTCTATACATTATCTTTTCACATTCTTGATAATTTCCCTTTTTTGCCCAGAAGTTTTTAATTTTTAGGAAGTCAGTTCATCATTTTTTTCTTTTGTTGCTCATGCTTTTGGTATCAAATCTAAGAAATCAATCCATTGGCAAATACGAGGTCATGAGGGCTTACCCCTGTTTCCTTCTAATAGTTTTCTGGTTTTTAGCTCTTACATTTAGGTCATTGATCAATTCTGAGTCAATTTTTACATATGGAGTGTGGTTATCACTATCTGCAAATAGTTTTCTTCTCCTTTCCAATTTATATGCCTTTTGTTTCTTTCTCTTGCCTGGCTAGATCTGGCTAGGACTTCTAGCATAATGTTGAAAATAGCAGTGGTGAAAAGGGGCATGGTATCTTGTTCCTGATTACAGAGAGAAAACTTTTAGTCTTTCACCATCAAGTAGGGTGTTAGTTGTGGATTTCTCATAAATGCCCTTTATTGTGCTAAGGAAATTCCCTTGTATTCCTAGTTTGCTGATTTTTTTATCTTGAAAAGTTGTTTGTTGAATTTTGTCAAATGCTTTTTTTGTATCTGTTGAGATGATGGTGTGAGTTTTTTGTTTTTTGTTTTTTTTTCCTTTGTTCAATTAATGTACTGTGATGTATTAAATCCATTGATCTTCTTAGGTTGAACCACCTTGCATTTCTGGGATAAATCCCCCTTGGTCATGGCATGTAATACTTTTAATGTTCTATTGGATTTGGTTTGCTACTGTTATGTTGAGGCTACTTACCTCTATATTCAAAAGGGAAAATGGTCTTGTAGTTTTCTTTTCTTTAGTGCCTTTGTCTGGTGTTGGCATTAAGATAATGCTGGCCATCTTTTGTTCCTTTGTTCCTGTTACTTTCCCTGTTTCTCTGTATGCCTTAGCATCTTTAGTTGAGTTTTGAGCATTTGAAAAAACAGACACTCCTGCCAGTCCTCATAGACTGGCTTCTTACAGGAGAAGACCTTGACCTACCATCCAGGCTAGAGATTCAGGGACCCCTCAACGCTTTTCTGGAGATATGTCTTCTCTAGGCTAGTGTGTGTGCTTTCCCAAAGCGGTTTGCCTTATTTCTTCTCAGGAGCCTGTCCTCTCTTGCTCCCCTGGTGTCTGTCTTTGGTACTGCAGACTTTGGTGCTATAACAAGCCATAGAACTCACCTTTGTTCTCAGTTACCCCTAACCTGGCATCCAAAGTATAGAGGCGTTCTCTTAGTACTCTGAGTCAGGTGCGACAGAAACCAGTCTCTCTGGCAGCCCCCCGCCCCCACCAAAGCCAGAATGTTGGGTGCATGTTCTCTTTTCTCTTTCCTCCCAGGATTTAGTTTTCTGCCAAATGCACTACAGCAGGCCTGGGAACGAGAGGGGCTGCACCAGGCAAAATGTGACAAGCTTTTCTACTTCAGTGCCTACTCTCCTTGGCTTCTTGAAGTGCTGCAAGCTTTTATCTGGTTTTTGGAATTCTCAAAAAGGCGATTTGGTCCGTAAATTGTTGTTAAGTCTGTATCTCTGTGGGAAAATGAGAGCCATTCCACCATTTTGCTGACATCACTCCAACTTAGATTTGTAATGAGAATTTTTTTCTGTCTGGAGACAAGTTTGTTTGTGGGTTGAGTCTTGTGGTTGTGCTGAGTTTATACTGTTCTCTTCCAATACCCTACATCTAAAAGAAGTGACACCTTTCAGCAATAACAGAACGATAATTATGAAATGCCTGCTCTTTCTCCCTACCCCACCCTCCTTTCTCTCTCTGTCCAAGAGTGTCTGACTCTGTAGTAGCTAGGACTGGAAATAGAATCTAGGACCTGGGCTGTCATACCACCCTGGAGCCCCATGGCCTGTTCATCATCTTGTAGAAAGTTCAGCTTCTGTTCTTTATGTACCAAAACAATGCCACCAGAAAGTTTAGGTTTAAAAGGAGAGGAGATCAAAATAACAAAAATGAGGTAGTGGAAGAAAGACTGCAGTGAGGCAAATAAATATTTGGGCTTTGTTTTGTTTTGCCTTCCTTGATTTTGTTTTCCAGAGTCACCGCTAGGGATAGTTGTATGAAATTTCTTTGAAGCTCAGGTTTGGTTCTGCCAAAGGTTAGACTTAAGGAGAAAGGAAAGGGGTCCAGATATGCCAGAAGAAGTTGTTGAAAAAATGTCATGTGTATCAAACGTCTTTAAAATCAGATAATGAAATTAGGTAATAGAAGTGTCTATCATAATTTACAGAGATGGTTATTTTTAACCTATGAAAGCCACTAAAGTCCCCAGACACCCGAAGGTGTGGCTGTGATTCTGTCAGCTGATATCCGACATCTGCTTTGACAGATGTTTCCCTGGGGAGGGTTTACCGAGAAACCATCTTTCCATATTTTTTCTATTATGGTCACTTTCTTTGTTTTTTGTTTCAATTTTTTTTTTTAGGCTAGATGCAAACAAACCAATGCGGTACTTGGAAAACAAGGCAGCTTTAAACAAGGCATTAGAACGGTTGAATTGGCCCATTTCACTGAAAGAGCTGTCGATGCTGGAGAATGAAATCCTAGCTGGGAAAATGTACGTACAGCAGGCCATGGAACTCCAGGAGGCTGCCAAGAAGGAGAATTATATGAGCAGGGCACTAGGAGAGGTGGGTACCGTGGAGGTGTCTGTGTTTCCTCCCTCCCTCCTGTTCCGAGTCCGTGCCATCCCTGATCCAGCCTGCCCCTCTCTCCCCTACCCCCACTACTCTGAGTTATAAGAGTTAGCACCAACCTAGTTAGGATCCAAGAACTTCTTTCAACAGAAAGGAAATGCCATTTGATTTTACTCTGGCCTTATTTTTTAAACAATACATCTTTTAACTGTAAAATAAAACCAAATAGAAGTATAATGTCATGATTAAAAGCCTAGACTTTGATATAAGCCAGACCAAGGTCCATTCTCAAATCTGCCACCTAATCCTTGTGTGATCTTAGCCAGTTACTCTGTCTCTCTAAACCTTAGGGTTTTTACCTATAAAATAGTATTGATAGTATTTGCCTCAAGGGTTGTTATGAAAATAAAATGAACATTTAAAGAACTTAGTATCGAAAACCTCCTATAAATGTTAGCAATTATTAATAAAACAAACCTTATACAAAGAAAAAATAATTTATTATATGATTTCCTTATTATTTATTACCATTTTAGATCATTTACTTCAAGGTTTATTTTCCTCATATATATTTTATACATAGATGCAGTCAGCGTGTCCATAATCCTTTCATATTCTGCTTTTTAATTTAGCATTATGTCGTATACTTTCTCTGTGTTTTTACCAAATCATGAAATTGATATTTTTTTATGGTTACATAACATTCCAGGGTGTGTATATATCCTGATTTATTTAACTCTTAACTGAATATTGGATGTTTGGATTATTTTCCAATTTTCTGCTCTTTCACATTATGTTTTAATGACTTCTGTGGTGTATATAGTTTAACTATTTTGTTAGGGTAAATTCTTAGGAGTGGGATCATTGGATCAAAGGGCATATACATTTTGGGGCTCGAAATATTTGTTGCCAGGATAGCACCCCCTGACTACAGTTTGATGTATGTAGACCTGGAGTAGTTCATCTAAAATCTTACTGAATTCTATATAATTTTCATATATCCACCATATGGCAGTCTAAAAAATATACCCCCAAAACTGATCTTTGAGATTTATTGTTTTGGTTTCAGTCTTTGCTAAGCAATAGCGGCTTTGCCTGGTTTTGATTCTATATTTGCTGTTCTGTGTTTTGTTTTGTTTTTAATTTTACTTTTCCCCTGCAAATGGCATTTATTTTCCTTCAGCGTAGAAAACTATTTCTTTTGTGCAGAATGCAAAATTTTTATCTATTTACTTTTATTTTGGGGGTTATATTTATTTTATTTGCTTTTGGATATATATATTTGTTTGTTTTTATTCAAACCAAGTGATTTCCTCAAAGAATTGATCAGTATTTTCTCGGGAGGAGACATGTGTCTCATGCCTCCCAATATGTGGTCTTCCTCACCTAGAGGCCCCATGGGCACCTAAGAATCAAGAAGACTAAAAGTGAATTAACTCCATCTCCCTGAAAATCAGCTCTTCCTTCCATTATACCTCTTCCTCTCTGTTCTTTCATTTGTTTATTGAAATATTTCTGAGTTTCTGTGAGGTGCTGAGCACTATTCCAGGCACTAGAAGTACCTAAACGCAGGCACTAAGTCCCACCCTTATTCCATTTGAGGGGACAGACCACTGCAAGTCCCAAATGATGGATTTTCCCATGTTAAACTATTGAGACACCACTGCCCAGCAGCAGAATTTCTAGCATTATTCCTTATCTAGACTTTATATTAAATTTTAAAATGGGAAGTGATGGTAATGGAGTGAAAGAAGCCATCTGTGATAGTATGTTTCACCAAATTTATCTAGAATTGTGGTAATCAAAAGCTCATTGATTATGGGCCCTGAATCAATTGTTCTATATCTTTATTTCCTTTATCCACAGAGTAGGAATAAATGTAATTTCCATAATTTCTTCATTCAAAAGTGTTTATTCACTCCCTACCATGGATCAGCTTCTGTGCTTGGCACAGGTGGGCTCAGGCAGTGAATAGACCACCTCGTTCTCTCTCTCCTTGGGGCCCCCCAGGGTGACACTATGCATTGGACATGAAACAGGGCTTGTTAACTGCACTGAAGACATAGGCCCATCCTAGTGGAGGAGACGTATTGGAATAGAATGTAACCTCCATGAGAAATGAGATTGTCTGGCCTTATTTGTAGCTGTATCTATAACACTGAGAATGATGCCTGGCACACAGTGGGCACTGGACAAATATTTATTGAATAAACAAAACCCAGATCCTCATAGGAGAATATCATAAATATGACAGTGGAGGTATATCCATAGAACAACTGGAAAATGGGAAAAAGTGAATGGTTATGGCCGGGAGTTGGGGAGAGCTTCACAGAGGGGATAATTAAGTTTGGTGTGGAATGAGGTGTAGGAATAAGGGAATTGGGGTGTGAGAAATGTTCTCAGTAAAAGAAACAGCCTCTGCAAAGGCAGGGAGGTGGGAAGGACATGGCATGTTCTCCCAGGGCATGGCCGGAGACAAGACGGGAAGGAAAGATGGTGCCAGAACACGAGGAACTCACAGTCTCTCCTAGGACAGGAACTCTTGCCTGTAGGAAATGGAGAGACAAGGAGTAGAAGATGTTAACAAGTTTGGGTCTTGGAAAAATTATTTTGGCCGCAAAATGAGGCTCATGTGGAAGGGAAAGACCAAAACCAGGTACAGCACTCCACTGAGGGGTATGGAGTCCTTGAGCCAAGCCAGAACCATGAGCAGGGAACAGGGAACAGAGATATGAGTTGGTGGAAAGTGACTGTGTGGGATGAGCCAGAGGGCAAAGTGGAGGATACCCATAGACTTACTATATTGGACAGCTGGGGAGACTGAGGCACTGTCAACCACTTCCAGATGGCCTCTGTTTCTTAGGGCCACAGGCCTTCCCTGCACAGCCCATCTAAACCCCTGGCATCCTCTAACCTCTTACCATAGTTCATTTTCTTCGTGGCACATTGCATGCCCTGACAGTACGCATGTGTTTGTTAGTGATCTGTCCCCACTGCTGGAATCGGGGTGGGACTTGGTCCATTGTGTTCTAGGTGGGACTTGGCCCAGTGCCTAGAAGATTGCTTGGCATCTTGTAGGTATTCATAACTATTTGAATTAACAAATGAAAACATAGACCAGAGGAAGAGTATATTTTCAGGGAAAGATAAGTTAGGTCCTCTTGATACTTAGATGTTCCTGGGGACTTCAGACAGGACAGCACATGTTTGGGGCTCAGGAGATAGGTCTGAAGGTCACTGAGGGGCTGAAAGAAGAGGAGCAGACAGTGGAGGAATGGAGGCAGGGAAGCGAGAGGAGCAGGTGGCCCAAAGTAGGGAGGTGCAAAGTGAGAGCCCGGGGTCTGGAGGCAGAAAGACCTGAATGCAGGTCTCAGCACTGCCACTTTCTAGCTGTGTGACCTTAGCCAGGCCCTCTAAGTCTAGTTTTATCACCTTTAAAATAGAAAAATCCAAGTACCAACCAAAAAACTGGTTGCAAGACAATGCACATAATGTGCATAGTACAGAGTGCCAGCACTGAATGCTTAGTGGTAAATGCACTCTACATATATTACCCATTATTACTCTTCCCATTATTAAAGTAATTGCTGAGGAATCTTGAAAAATCATACAGAATGATGTCTGAAAGCCATCTGATTTGGCAAGGGGGAGATCACTGGCGTTCTTAGCCAGAATAATTTCAGTGGCAGTGTGGGAGCAAAGGAGCAGAAGCCAGTTTACAGTGGGTGGAGGGGTGGGAAGAAGTCAAGAAAGTAAAGTGAAGATTTTTGTTTCAAATTCTTCATAGGGAAGGAAAGGAGAAAGCAAGATGTTGAGAACTTGAACCAGAGTGAGAGGAGACGTTTAGTTAGTATAATGACATTGATGAGCCCACTGCTGCCCCGCTTCTTGGTCAGGGTGCCTTGTCCCTACACAGGTGTCCAAAGCTCCCACTGTGTGTTTGAGGAAGTGTCCATGTGCCCAGGACAATTGTCTATGGGTAATGAATCGGGGGGAGGGGCTCATACTTGGCTGCTTATCTTCAGAGCTCTTTCCAGTCTTTTAATGCCCCTCAGCAATGGAAGATTTTATATACAGTTTTTTTTTTTAATTACATTTGTCCTTACCATGGGTGATGTATTCTGAAATAATTTTATTCCATTTTTATCACGCCCCACTAATTGATTTTATGACCTACTAACAGGTCTTGACCAGTGTGAAAAGCACCAGTTGGGACCAAAGCTCAAGGTTGCAAGGCCTTGTGAGGTCCCAGAGTGAAAAGTCATCATAGATGCAAGTCATTTTTACTGATTTGTATATAAATATAGTCCCATTTTAAATCCTTTTAGCAAAGGCTAAGGATTTCGATCAATGATTATAAATTGAAGAGGACCAGCCTTCCATTATGAAAACCCCCTAGAGTTTAGCAAAAGGTGATCAAAGTTTGTTGGAGTGAGACCATGCAATGAAAAGAAAGTCTGAAATTCTAAATTCCCCTTGAAAACTCCTTCACTAGCACCCCTCTTGTTGCCATGGTTGCAAATTTCACCCTCAACAGCCAGCCCTGAGCCCTGGGGAGCTGTGCTGTGTGGAAATCACTAGAGGGCATCTGAATGATAAGTAACCAGGGGTCCTAGGGACACAAAGCGTGGGGAGACAAGTACCCCATCTTCCCTCCTGCCGCCCTCTGACCCCATGCCTCTCGTCGGCTCACCCTATCTGGATGCAGGCTTGCAAGGGAAATAGGGTGGTGTCATCCTTGGAGTCAATCTCTTGGAAAATAGGGCAAGGCAGGGCAAGGCAGGGCAGGGTAGAGAATGGATTTAGAAGCAGATGGGTGGACCAGAGTAAACAACTCAGAGATCTCTTGAAAAGATTTCTTAAGGCTCAGCATTTATTTTTAAGACATAGCCTGTGTGAGATATTCGTATCTAGCTATGGTGCACAACTGGTGAGGTCCACACTCCAGGCAATGACCCAAAAGTGGGTCCAGGGCGTGGCTTTTGTTCCTCTCT